ATAAGGCAAGTTTTTATAAGGCAATTTTTTTGAGGAGGGCGGAAGAAAAATAAAATTTTTTTTTTTCCATTAGATTTGTCTGATTCTCAAAAAATTGTAAGTTAGATCATTGATCGGAGAAAAGAAATGAAATAAAATGTTATTCCATGTATAACCTTGTTTTTCATCTGAGCGAGGCTTCGGTACTTTGATCATGATACTCCCACGAAAATGCAACTTGGATTTGTTATGCGGCGGGCGGTAAAAAAATAAAGATAAAAATAATATTTGTTTAGCATTTTTTTGCGCTTACAAGTCGGCGGGCGGGAGAAATTACGCTGAAATAGAATTTTATTTTTATTTCATTTTCGGCTCCTGTTCATTTGGCGGGTTTGCAAAACAAGGGATAATAAAAGTCTGGCTTAAATAATGTATTTTACACACATTGTGTTTTTCGCTATGGGCTCCATATCAAATACAGGGATTTTTTTAAACACGGGAACAAGGTGCAGAGCCCTCATGCCATGACCATGCACCCCTGGGAAGCAGGATCCTCTGACCAACCATAGAATTCTGATTGACCAAGGATCACATGTGGCCACAGTCTTCAACTGCGACCTGTCTGATAGTAAGTTTGGCCCCAAGGAAGCCAAGAATGCTCCATTTTAACTATAGACCCTCTTGTACTGGAGGGTCTATGTTTTAACTTAGAATTATCAAAAACTCCACACCCTGGTAGGGAGAACCCTATCTCGCCACTTGGTGGCCCTGCTGAATTGCGGTACTTCCTCTTGCAGTTTTGTTTTTTTCTAGTAATGAGGGTACAGGCGACCACCCTCCCGCAATTGCACTTAATATTTAGTATGATCTGATCAAAATAGAACTATATCTGGCTACAATTCTGCTGCTTTTGGTTTCGCTGTAGTTTTTTTTTTTTTTTTTTTTTGCAGGTAGGCTTTTTTCGCCCCCTATGGGGCGATCAGAGAACAGGGAAGCTACAGCTTTTGCGATCACCCTATGATAGACCATGGAGTTAAAAAAAAAAGAAGAAGCTCCATGGATAGACGAAACAAACCCGCAAACAATAAAGCTAAATCAAGAGCTACAAAACTGCAGCTACACGACTCTATAACACAATCCCTCTGTGGAGGGGCTGTATAACTTTAAGTAACCGTAACCGGTAATTTCAAAGCGATATCACGACACTAAATTTGCAAGCAATGGAGGTGAAATTCTATATTTTACCTAGAATATTTATTAATTTAACCCCCGTAAACACGAAAATGTCACCTATATTGAAACTCACCAATCGTATCTGTGTGCTAATAAGTAAGTATGGCATGATCGTGTTGCATAACTAGGATGGAGAAACTATTAAATCACAATCCACAGCACCAGTTTGAAACGACATAGGGTTTCGAGTCAAGGGTCGACTTTGTTGACGTTGCATCGGAGAAGTTATCGAGCAACAGTATCAAGCGATTGAACCTGGCTGTCAATAGAACCCGGCAATGCCAGTAGATAATACTAATATTTTGAATTTGCATGAGATTACATGATTATGTAAACTAAACACTAATGTTTAAGAAGGGGGTTATTGTCAGATAACGTGGATTGTGATTTGTACAACACAATAAATACATGTAGGTTTTTATTCATTTATTTATTTATTGCTACCCTTTTGTAACAGGGGCTCACTATGTAAATTAGGAGTTGCACCAAAGAAAATAATACATTTCACTCAAAGACTAATGAAAAAACTTTTGATAGACACAATAGAAACTAAGTTACATGAACTAAAATAACAACAACAAAAACATCTAAATGTAGAAAAAATAAGAAACCTAATATATAAGAAGTACATTGTACATTGAAAAAATATTGAGTATTATCTATATACTTCTTCCTACTTTCCATGGCATCAATTAAGTAGTATTTTTTTTTTAAGTATCAATTTCGTCACACAAGACTGGCTTGTGCTGTGCTGTCACCCATAATTAAGAAACATAGCACTTCTTTGTTTGCTATGTACCGGTAGTCTTTATGTAAAGGTATCTCATCTGTATTGCATGGGAGCATTTTAATCAGTTTTTCTCTGTGCTGAGAAATTGAACATTCACAATGTAATATGAAATGTTCAATTGTTTCAGGTTTCTTTTTGCAACATGGACAGATACATTCATTGTCATCCAAGTTTGCCCATTTTCTTTTCTCATATGCCAAGCCAAGAGTGCAGGATCTTGGCCTTGAATTTTAATTGGCTGCCCTTGAAGTTGAATACAGAATTTAAATATTTTTCACAATATTTTAAAAATTTATTTTAAATTTTCTATAATGGACGAAACTTGATTTCTCTGCCATTTTTTGTTTCTATTGAATCTCGTCACTGTTTACAATCATATTTGTAATATTTCTTTCAGACAGATTAGTAAATTGGCTTTTGTTTATCTTTATAGGTCTTTCTATATCTTCAATGCTATTTAGCCATGGCCAGGTCTTATTCAGATTATTCTCTTCTTTAATTGCAGTTAGTTTATTAAAAATAACATTTTGACCATCTGGTTGATTCAATTAAACACAACCTCTTGTATTAAGTTTGATGAAAAACGAGTCTGAAAAATTCTCATGCACGTCAATTTTGTTATGTACCATATTTGTTATTTAGGATAAATCAATCAAACAACAATAACATAATAACCTATGTATTCTTTACCAGCCTAGTTGCGTCACTGTTGTGTGTAGCGCACGTCAAAATGTAACACTGTCACGCAAATAGTCAGTCACACAGTAATGCATGTACATGTGTTGTAAACAAAAACACACTGGTTACTAATAATTAAAGGGCTATGGTTCTGTTCGATATGGGACTCATAGCAACACAAACAATGCATTATGTAACATACATTGTTTACATGAAATTTGAACACGCGCTGCTCCGTCGACGACCACTGTCGTGATATCGATAACTTAATTTCTTGAGCAGGAGCTGCATAGATTAATTTCATATATTCAAATTGTCTCTCTATTAAAAAAATAATAATAATAATAATATTTACAAACTGATGTTTCTAATTTATTTTTGTATTGAGGCACTGTCAGTCAACTTAATTATTCTGTTGCCGGCTATTATTGCTGGCCATCTTCTATTGACGAGTTGCCTGTTACAATGTTCTGTTTATTTATTTATTCTTTTCAAAATGGGTGAATTGAAATATATTCGTTTATTTAAATATTTAGATTGTGTTTTTAAAGCAACAATTTAATACATACCTGGTATCTGACCAGGTATGCTACATGTCGAACAGGCACTTATTCACAGTACAACATTCGCCAATATGGGTGTTTGTTTGTTCCAGAGGAAAGAAACACTTTCGTGTGCAGACGATTCTGTATATGATTGTACCCATGGTTTAATGTAAAAGTGTGTGTTTTATACCTGTATTTTATATTCATTTGATGTGATTCCTAATTCCCAGCGAAAAAGAAATGTCACTAAACTTCGGCAGACACCTGCCTGCTGTGGGGGTTGGTTTTTTGATCGGTGCTAGTGCCGCCTTGGTAGTCGATCGTGTTGTTTTGACTGGGCATTTGAACCGCATTCGAATATCTATTGATGAGCTAAGACGAGAATGGTTGCAAATGAAAGATAAGTTGGATACAGGTACTAGAAAACGACGCACTAGAATTAGTAGAGATAGCACAGACGGCTCGGAATATTTCTCCGCTCATCCGAGCAGTGGGGAAGAGGAGGAAGACTTCGAAGAAGCATTGGATTGGTAAGTTGACCTGGTGTGAATGCACTTTTGTTGTTAGGGGCGAAGGTTCACAGAAGCATTCTGTCGTGATGCATATTTAATGAAATCACGACCGAACCAATAGTATTTCAAGTTGTATCGTGGTTTGGAAAATATATGACCTGTTGTGATGGTGTCAGGTGATGGGAACATTATTTAATGCTATTATAATAATTTAGTATTGTAAAATCATGTTCACTGGACTATTCAGAGAATCCTATGATCTCAGACTATTATTAGCCTGAGCATTCTTTCGCTTTAAAAAAACAAACAAAAAAACTAGGTACTAGATTTTCTGTGATGGCAATTATAACCCCTCCCAACTTCAAACAGGTGTCTATCAATCAAATCCAACATAGGCTACATCATATGTATTTTATGTCTGGTAGAACGTTTTTTTTTTGCGAGCATGTATTATTATGAAATCTGACAGCATATCAATTCATTCTCTGCTCTGCTCTGAACTGAATACCAGCCACCCTTTTCATGTCACCGTACACTTATTACACAAGTACTGTGGATGAACCAGATACTGCATGAACAATAATCTCCATTCATTTTGGTCTTTATTCACCTTGCATTGAGATAATAAAATTTCAAAAATTTCAAACTAATTATAATTTCTGTACCTGTACAGGTACACCACACCACCTCAAGCACTACTGTACAAGGATGCCAGGGAAAGCTTTGAAAATGAGGAAGATGAAACTCTCAAAGCTTTGTTTGAAGAAGTAGATATATTATATAGAAGTACAGATGATGATAAATACAGAGCTTTTGAACTATTGAAAGAAAAGTTTCCACTGGTAGGTTGTGTGACACAGACACACTATATTTTGATACGCAGATGTACATAAAA